TTCTCTTTTGGACTTTGGGATTTTTTTTTATTTGTTTTATTTTTGTCACTTGCTCTTTGATTCTATTTTTTTCTTAGTTTTTCCTTTTTCTTGTTTGTATTTGTTTTTACCTAATTGTATTAACTTTCACTCTTTAATTGTATTTTTACTTCCCTTTCCTCTCATCTTCCTCTTTTCAAATTTTACTTCTTTCATTTTCCCTTTCCCCACCCCCTCCACTTTTACTATTAAGCTTTTTAAATTTCTAGCTATTTAAGTTGAATCTATGCTATTACTGCTGAATTCTTTTCTATGGTTCATGGAGGTAGAGGGGGTTTTTTTTTTTTTTTTTTTTTTTTTTTTTTTCTGGTACCAGGGATCGAACTCAGGACCTTGAGCTTGCAAGGCAGATACGATGCCACTGAACCAAATTCCTGGCCCTTAGAGGAGTGGTTTTTATTAGATATTTACTGTATGTCAATATTGGGTCTTTGTGCCTACATTACCACTGCACAGCTCTTTTGTTAAGGTCTAGTATAGATGTAGCTATTACTAGATGGTGTGTCAATAACTGGGTAGTCTCGGACAATATTATTATTGTTAATCTCTTTTTTATTGTGAATCATGGCATAGTTGTTGATTTTAATTGGTCTTTACTATATGCCACTATCTGGTTTGTCATCATATCTTCAACAACATTACAGTTTGTTTCCTCCTTTCTGAATGGTGTTAGGAATTAATCCCCTAGAAGGTTGGACACTAAGAAGAACCTCAGATATTACAGTAAATAGGTTGAAGAGGTTGTATAAACATCAAAACACAAACCCAAGGAGTTAGGAAGACAAAACCTAACTAAGGAGATTTCCACAGTAGTGATAATTTCTCTACCCTTACTGATCCTTAACCCACAGTGTGAAAACAATAGACACATGAGAAAGCAAGACAAGATGGTTCCAAATGGATAGATATCTACAGAGCACTTCATCTAAGAACACCATACACATTTCCTCAACAACACCCAGAACTTTTTCCAAAACAGACCATCTTAGATCATGTCGTGGCTTGTGTTTAGATGTCCACCAAAAGCCTCATCCAGTCATAGGTGGTGCTGACCAGAGGTGGCTGGATATACAGTGTGTGATGCTGGGGTTAGGGTTATGTGATTACTAAATTAGTCCACTGACTGGTCTGGCACAGTTCTGGGTGGGGATAATAGGTGGGTCCACCTTGGCTGTGAGTGCTACCAACCCTAAGGGTGCATATCCTAGGTAGACTACAAAGGACCTAAAGAGGGCTGCTGCCCTTGCTTGCTGCTTTTGCTGCCTTCTACCTTCCACTTCATGAACTCTTTTCCTCTGTGATGTCCCTCTGCCGTGCCACCCTGCCTTGGAGCCACACCATTAAACACTGAAACCTCTACAAACTGTGAGCCAAAATAAACCTTTCCTCCTTTAACTTTAGGTGTTGGGTATTGTCTCAGTAATGAGAAAAGTAATGAAGACAAGTCCTAAAGAATATTACCTAAGTACAAAAAACACTAAAAGAATCCCCTGCACACCATAATATCATAGTAGAATGTACCTAAAAATGAACAGCAAAAGATGCCACAGCAGCTATGCAAACACATGGAGACCAAACAAAAAACTGCTGAGTAGTCAATGTATCACAAGGAAATCAGGGGTTGAATTTATAAAGACCCTGAAATCAAATGAAAATAGAAGCATGACATACCAAAACCTATAGGACACAATGGAAACAGTTCTGAGAGAACTTAGATGTGAATGCACACATAAAAAAATTCCAAACAAGGGGCCGGGGATTTAGCTCAGTGGTTTGGTGGCCTGCCTTGCAAGCGCCAAGTACCCGAGTTCAATCCCCGGTACCAAAAAAAAAAAAAAAAAAAAAAAAAAAAAAAAAAAAAAATCCAAACAAATAGCAATTCCAAAAATTCCAAACAAATAACCTAATTATGCTTCCCAAGGTGTGGAAGGACAAGAACAATTCAAATCCAAAAATAATGGAAAGAAATGCCAAAGATCAGAGCAGAAATTAATGGAACTGGGAAACAATCCAAAGGATCAAGAATCAAAGAGCTGGCTCTTTGACAGGAAGGGAACAGGGTCTAGGGATGGGGAAGGAAAATAAAAGGGATCAAGATGCCATGCATCTATATACCAATACCCCCCAGAATGAATGTGTTTCTTATTCAGTGAAAAAATATAATAAAAATTGAGAAAAAAGAAATCATGACAAATCTAACAGACTGCAATGGCTTGCTGCTACCTGATGCCAGTGAAGGTCATCACTGATGTGTGCGGATGCCACCACAGCAGAGGCACGAGCCCACCTCATATCCCAGAGGCAGGAAGAATGAGGACACCAGTTACTTCGTGAGAAAAGGGTTGTAAGCCAGGTGAGGGGTGCACGCCTGGCCTCGCAGCAGGTGAGTGAGACAATCTGCTTGGAAGAATCACCGCATGCCCAGTTCCAAAGCAGTACCGAGGGGGAGCCCACTGCCTACTTGCTCAACTTTTGTATTCTCTAGATGACCTTGCCCCTTGCATGAACAGCATGGCGGGGAAGGGAGGGCTTCATTAGCTGGCTTTGTCCTTGCTGGCTAAAAAAAACAGAACAACCCACGTGCAGGGGACGCAGACTGGAGCGCTGTCTGGACACCACAGGTCTGTTCACGAGATGTGAGTTCAGAAACTCATGAATCAAATATCTGTGACACACAGCTCTAGGCTCTAGGAGAACCTTAATGGACCTTCAGGAAAAGTGAGACAGTGTGAGTGTCCTCAAGAAATGGATGATCTCGCCAGGTGTGGTGGGATGTGCCTAGAATCCCAACACTCTGGCAGAAGGATCCTAATGTCACGGCCAGCCTGGGTAACTCAGCAGGACCATACCTCAAAATGGAAAGTAAAAGGGCTGGGGATGCAATTCAGTGTGAAGGCCCTGGGTTCAATTCCCAGTACCATACACACACACATGTGCACTCACAGGTATGCACAGGTACAATCTCGGGAGAAAGGAGAAAACACAATACATAAAAAAGTACTTGTCTCGCAATCTTGTATCTGAAGGCATGCGCTTGGTGACCTTCCTCAGTAATCTCCAATCCTGGAGCTGGATGCACTTAGCTTTGATCCCCATCCTACCACTGAACAAACTCTCCGGGCCTCTGAGCAAGTTATTTAACCTCCCAGCCATGTGTTATGATGTAGATCTGGAAGGTCCCCCAAAGGCGCCTGGATTCAGAGGTGGGGCTTTTCGAACTGGACTGGATCATGGGGTGCTGTAGCTAAACATGCTGTTACCAGGAGGGGCCTGGTTAGAGAAGGTCACCAGGGTGTGACCCCGAGGGTGTGTTCTTGTCCCTGGCTCCTCCCTCCACTCTGTGCTTCCTTGTTGGCATGAGCTTTTCCCCGCCAGGCCCTTCCGCTATGCTGCTTTGGCCTTGGAGCAGCCAACCGAGGATGACCATGGATGGAAACCATGAGCCAAAAGACAGCTCCCCCACCCCCCAAAGTCGTGGGTGTCCAGTATTGTGTCCCAGGGACAAGGTGACTGGGACACTGCGCAATTCCCAAGATGCCTGGAGTTGGCAAACTCCCAGAGCCGGGAAGCACATTCAGAGTCACCCAGGACTGGGAAGGATCGCTCAGTGGGTACAGAGGCTCTGTATGGGGCACCAGTAGAGTTTTCAAAATAGATATCAGGGATACTGAACAATATCGCAAATGCTGTTCCTGCCACTGAACCGTACACTTAGACGCGTTTACAGTGGTAAATTTTGTTTTATATATTTTTACCCCAGTAAGGAAATATTTCTTAGACACTGTTCAGAGTACTTCCAGCTCTTACCAACCCACTCACTTTCAACGTAAAACACTTCCCATCCCGTAGGTTGCTGCTAAGAAACGTGTGGAGCATTTTTAGCAACTGTCACACAAAAATAAGCAGCTTATGTTGAGTGAGGTAATGAAACAAGAGCAATCCATCCTCAGAGCAGATCCAAGTAACAGGTTGAGGAAAGGCACAGCTAATCTTCTATTCTAAACATCAGGTCTCCTGCAAAGACCTGGAAACCCGGATTCAAACACAGGACCAAACCTAAGGCCTCTGTCTGCGTACAGGATTATGGAAACCAGGCAGGGCAGCACCCAGTCTAGGGCAAATTTGGGCAGGTGCCCCTCATCCTGTTAGAAGAATCCTGCATGCTGCATGTGCCTGAGGCCCCAGGAAGTGAGTGTAGAGTTCAGGAAAGGAATGGCGAGGTGGCACAGCCCCGCAGGCTCCAGCACAGCACGCTCCACACTGGCCTGGGGACACAGCAGCCAGGGACACAAGAGGACCCTGCCATCAGTCCCCTGAAACAGCCTGCAGAGCCTGGGATGCCTCGGCCCCCAGCTGAGCTGCTCTCTGGCTTTTCCTGTGAGAGCAGCGTTCACAGGGAGGAGGCGAGCACACTGGCCCAGGTTGAGCTCACGATCCTCCTACCTCAGCCTCCCAGAGTGTGGGATGACTGCTGTGTGGACACCACACCCGGCTCAGGTCACCTTTATGCTGGGTCCTAGATGACTCACATATAACAGATGTGGAAGTTTGGCTCTCTGAAGTCTGCTCCTTGAGAGGAAATACAGATATCAATTTTATCTCAGTCTGTGAGTGTCCAGAACAACTTTTAGAATTCACAGGTTTTCCTCTGTATTCTGGGTTCCATATTCAAGGACTCAACCAACCATGAACCAAAAATATTTGGAAAAAAACCCTCATGTGCACTGAACGGATACACGCGTTTTCCTCACTCTCTTTCCCATGTGCACACCTTTATGTCATCCTGGAATCACCAGCCCACCAGCGATGGCTTCAAGTGCACAGGGTCTATGCACGCCGGGCCTGGAGCCTCCCGACTCGGTACCCATGGGCAATCCTGAAACCTGTCCCCTCCCGGATGCTGAGGACTGCAGGGTCCCAGCCCTGTCACGCAGCCGCACCTGTTCTTTCTGTTTCCTTACCTGGGTGGCCGGTGAGGCGCTCAGACCGGGCAGGGAAGCCGGGCTGGGCCAGGTCTCCGGGACCAGGAGGGACAGGCTCCACTTTGCCCTAAAGGAAGGATGAGAGGGTCAGGTGGCTTTCACACTTCCTCCACCCTACTTCCTTCCCACTCACTTTTCCAGCGTTTCCTGGCAGTCTGAATCACACAAAAATGGAAACCAATTCTGAAAAGGTATAAAAGAGCTAGAAGGAAAGTTAGTCCTATCTTTTGGGCTTAAATGGTTTGCTTTCAACAGTGGCTCAGAAGGAATGGCTGTCAACGGTGTAGTTCAGGCGGTGGACAGAAACCGTTCACAGGTGCTGGCACCCTCCCATTCCCTTCTCAGAGCTGTCTACACACATGCATGTCCTATCCACCTGCTCCCCTCTCCCCCATCCCCTCACATCCACAGAGTCTGCCCCTGTTCCCTACCACCCCTCCTTCACCTGCTCTTCATTTTCATTCTCTCATCAGTGCACCTTTGCAGTACGTACTGACGACATTTACCAGGGGGAGTTGGTACATGTACACAACACATCTTCGGTCTCTCTTCACCCACCACCCTTCCCACTCCTCTCCATTCCTTCCAACTCTAGGTCCCCACCTCATCTGCAAAAGCTCTAACTCCATTTTTTTTCTTCAACTATTCTTCCCCATCTCCTTTCCATCCCCTTTGAAAAAGATCTCCCTACTACCTATTATCTATCTTTTATTCTACTCTTTATTTGTCGTTTGGGCTCATACAAGAGAAGCCATGTGATATTTAAGCTTATGCATCCGGTTTACTTCACTTAATGTTGTGGCCTCCATGTGCATCGATGATTCCCACTTATCCCTCTTTATGGCAGAGAAGTACTCCATGGTGTATAAACACCACACTTTCTCCACTGGTTCACCTGGTGATGGACACACAGGCTGCTTCCAAGACGGAGCTGTTCTGAGTTATGCTGCTCTAAACTTTGGTGTGCACAGATCTCTGTAGCAAGACGGCTTTAACTCGAGAAGATACTGAGAAGGGGAACAGCTGGGTGGACCATGAGACTATACAGCGAGTGAAATAAATCAGGCCCACAAGTTTAAGCATCGTGTGATTTCTCTTCTAGGAGCCCACACACTTTTCCGTAATAATACTGGTAACCAAGCTGTGATCTTCTGCGACGCGGGACAGAAACCTCCAGAGACCGCTTTCTGAACAGTTCCCTCCATGCAGGGCAAGGAGCTCAGTGGAACTTCCCAGACATCAAAGAGAAAAACTTTAGGCAACAGCAGTCTGGCGACCCCGCAGCCCACAATTCTAGAGAAACATCTGCCTGGAAACACAATCTACCAAACAGAAAAACCATTAAAATGTGGGGGGAACTATGGCTTTTAATATTTCTATGTTTATAAAAACCAGCCATGATTAACTTGTGGTGGGAAGATGTCAATTTCCTCTCGCAGAAGAATGAAATCTGAAAGGTTTATAATGCTCATGTAACCAGGAAGGTTTGGTACTGTGCCAAAAGGGTGAGATATGCACTTGAACCCACCAGACAGAATTATATTTTCATTTATCTGCCTCTGTCTTCACAAACGTCGTACGGAGACCCTGCGACTTCCCATGGTGTTCATCCCATTAACCCCAAACATGTAGAAGATACCACACTCGGAATATGGCCAACTACACCTGACCTAACCAAGTGAAACACTTCAAAACAGCATCCTACGGAGCAACCCGGAGACTGGTGGGGTCACAGGGCAGCACCAGACGGCCTGGCACCACCACAGGAAAGGATCCAAATTCAAAGCCCTGTTACTGCTGAAGGTGTACCACCCCTCTCTCACGAATGTACGGCAATGTATCATGAGGCCGACGCGTTAGAAGTCGGGGACTGTCCACAGCTGACTTGGGCATGCCCACCCCCATCCTCTTGGTACTGGCAGCTGGAGTATCTAACACACCCAGTACCCTTGTGTGCTGGCCACAGCCCCACCGGCTTGACCAGGCTGACTCCTGTTTCATAGAGGAAGGCACGGAGGCACAGGAAGTTTGGCCACCTTTGTGCCCACCATGTCCAGGGACTTGCAGCTGGCGGGGGTGACAGGGTGCAGGCAACCTAGTGATATAGCCCTGGATCCTTCCCTCCTGATGACTAAAGTGGACTGCGTCAACTTCATTGGCTTGGGAGCCACATGGGATGGGCACACTTCTGGTGTGTCTAGGTGGGGCACCTGACCCGGGGAACTGTATCTGCTCTCTGGTCCCTTCCTCCCTGGAGCTCTTCCTTGGCTCTGCTTTCCAGCCACCATGAACTAAGCAGCTTTGCTCCTCCGTGCTCTTTAGCCGTGATGGCCTTGCCTTGGCCAGCTGTCCATGTACTGAATCCCCTGAAACCATGATCCAAATTAAAGCTCTCCTCTTTTACACTGCAGGGTTGGGTACTGTGTCTCAGCAATGAGAAAGCTATTGTATCATCTAATCATCCAAATGGGCCAAGAAACTCCAAAAGCATAGTGGTTTCTCCAGAGTGTCACAGCAGCAGGGCAGGGCTGTGACTAATGCTTTGAGGCCCAAATGCTCACCAGCAGGTGCTGCTGTGCCCAGACCTTCCAGACTCTGGTGAAATGGGGTCCACACTGGCTTCCCCGCCAGTCTGCAGCACAGTCAAGGGCTGGCTCACCCTGCACCAGGAGCTGCTCACCATGGGTGGAGAGAGAGCCCGACATTTTCTCAACGTTCTCACAGTGCCCGAGTGGTAGCCAGTGTCCAGATCCAGCCGATGCTCCCCCAGTGGACATGGCAGTAGTTAAGGCTCTCGGTGTGTGGTCTGGGTCCTGAGGCCCTGAGGGCCTCATGTGAAGAGCCCACAGCACTGCTGGGGTCTGGTGGAAGAAAGTGAGGTGACCGTGGCCACCTGGGAAGGGGACCTGGGTCCCCATGCTTCCTGCAGGTGAACAAGCCCCAAGGCACCATAGGTGCAAAGCCTCCAGCCAAGGGACCGTGGGTGGCAACTGAGCCACAATAAACCCCTGCCTGAAGTCATCGCTACAGGCATTTGTGACAGTAATGGCCCGCTGACAGCCCACTTCTGATGAGGAGGGCAGTAGAGACGGATACGCCCCAATGTCCAAGAGGTAGGAGATGCTACCAAGGATCCACACAGAGGGGCTGAGCAAGGGGCCGGGCTGCAAGGGAAGAGGGGCTCAGCTCCCCAACTCACAGGGTCTCCCTGTCTGCAGCCTCCCCAGAGAATCCCTGTGACTCCCAGGCAAATGTCGCCTGCCCAACCTGCTTGTCACCTCCCAAAGGAAACTCTGATTTCCTCCTTTCTTAACTATAAAACAAGCCAAGTAAAATCTTTGGAGGTACAGACATAAAAGCAGCCTGAATTTGCTGATAGAAAGCTAAGAGCAGACTGGTGATCTCTGCCTGTTTTTCATACACAAGCAGAGGCTGTGGAAATCGGATTGTGTAAACTGTTTTGTGTTTTGCTCCCAGCTGCCTCGCCCTCTCCAAGTAACATGATAAGAAGTTATTTTTAAGCCTTGGTAAATACCATTTTTTCATACTAAAACTACCATCCTAGATACTTTCAGTGGTTTGCAACATCTACATCACATAAATAACGGTCAAACAAATGCCCCCTGGGCACACAGTTGTGCCCGCATTTCTGACTATTTGCTGCCCATCCCTAGAAGTCCCAAGGCGAGGCCAAAGGTTGCCTGTGCTCTCTGCAGGACTCTGGTCTCATACAGTCAAAGTCCCGCTCACCTCACGTGCCCTTCCACAGAGGCAAACACTGTTTCATAAGCCCCAAGCCGCCAGGTCTGGGACTGGCTACTTTTTTGGTAATGACATTTGGCCAATTACAGAGGTGAGCTGGACACCATGGTTGCAGTCCTAGCACTCTGAGGCTGATGCAGGAGGAGTGAGTGCAAGCTCAGCCTAGGCACCTTAGCAAGACCCTGTCTCAAAAGAAGAAAATAAAAAAGGCTGGGGGTGTAGCTCAGTGTGAAGGCCCTGGATTCAGTCCCCAGGATGCCCCCAACACACACACACACACACACACACACACACACACACACACACACACACACAAATCCACACACACACACACACACACACACACACACACACACACACACACACACAAAATCCCACAGGTCAAAAAAATAAATGTACTTCTTAAAATTTGGCAGACAGGAGTTCAGAATGAGAATTCTGTTCCCTAGTGAAGCCAAGCAAGATTTAATACAAGTTCAGCATCCCTTACCTGAAATTCTTGGAACCACAAGTGTTTTGGACTTCAGAATTTTGAATATGTGCGTATCTGTGAGGTGTCTTAGGGGCAAGCCCTCACTCTAAACGTGAGATTTATTTATGTCTCATAAACACCTTATCTACACAGCCTGAAGCACATTTCATACAAGACTATTAATAATTTTGTGTCTGAAACAAAGTTTCACGGTGTGAAATGTTCCCCTAGTGCCTGCATATTTTGGGGGGGGCCCAAACAGTCACAGAATTTAGAACATTTCAGATTTTGAATTTTTGGGTTAGGAATGCTCTACCTGTAGTCTGAAATATGACGGTATTTGGAAAATAAAGCCAAAACACAAAAGGCAGTGGAGAGAGCTAACCGGTGACTGCAGTATTAAAAGAGAATCCCTAGCTGGACATGGCAGCACCCGTCTGCAATTCCAGTATTCTAGGAGGCTGAGGCAGGAGAGTCACAAGTTCAAGCCCAGCCTGGTCAACTTAGTGACTCAGCAAGACCCTGCCTCAAAATAAAAAATAAAGGGCTGAGTATGGTGTGCTGGGTAAAAACCCTGAGTTCAATTCCAAGTATCAAAAAGCCTTGCATGCAGGAGGCCCCAGCACTGGCAGACGGATCCTCCTTTGCAGGTCAGGTTAGCAGCAACTGCTTGTTAGTAGATCAGAGCCTTAATTACCAGGCTGCCTCCTCCAGGCACAGCTGAAAGGGTCCCCAGACTCTAAGCTGTGGTACAGGCACCACTATCAAGTGCCAGATCCTCTCACGGCCACTGGACATGCACATGGCCAGGCGGCCGAAGTTTAGCCCAGCCTGATCACCAGATGCATGGGGAGACCTCTCCTTACTCCCTTCCACCTCTGCCTGCTTCCTGGCTGCCCAGGGACAAGTGGGTGGCGTGACTGCCTAGTCCTGGGGTCACCACTCCCAGGAGGTAAGGCCCCGTCCCACCCATCAGCAGCTCCCGCTCTGTGCTGATGCCACCTGCACCCCATGTGTCGCCTGCTCAGCTTCCAAATCCTGGTGAAGTCTCAGGTGTGGCGTGGGGAGAGGCTAAAGTCCTACCACCCCTGCCACACGCAAGGAGCCACCTGTATGAAAATAACGGGAAAATAGCAGGGTTTGCTTGGCGGTTCCTGGCATGCAGGTCTGACAGTGAGCCAAGCTAGTTCCCTTCTCTTCAAAACGCTCCTGTGGCGCGCTCTGCCCCTGGCCCACACAAGCAGCTGAGGCAAAGCAGAAAGGTGTTTGGCCCCTGTGTGGCTGAGGACACCAGGGCGGACCAGAGGGCAGGCTCCTCCCACTGAGCCGCCACGCTGTGGTCACAAGACCCCATGGCTCCAGGCGCCACGCAAAAACTGCCAGCTGCAACGCGGGCAGGACTGGCACCTTCGAGATAGACACCTCTCCAGGAGGAAGTGAGTTAGAGCCACTTTCTCTTTCTTTTTTCTTTTTTCCTCAAAGGACAGCGCTTGCTTCAACACTACGCTTTATATCCACGAATAAGCAAAGAAATTGAGATTTCACAGCA